ATTCCGTCAGACCGAAGGTCGCGGTGTAGATTTGGTACTGAATTCATTAGCCGAAGAAAAACTTCAAGCTTCTATTCGTTGTCTTGCAAAAAATGGACGTTTCTTGGAGATTGGCAAGTTCGATTTTATGGCTAACAATATGTTGGACTTATCAATGTTTTCGAAAGGCATAACATTTTACAGCGTTATGTTGGATAATTTATTCTCAGCTACTGAAAAACAAAGAATGGCACTGAATAAAGTACTAGTCAATGGTCTTATTAGCGGAGCCATCAAACCAATCAGCAGGAAAGTTTTTCAAAGAGATGAAATTGAGGATGCATTTAGATATATGGCCGCTGGAAAGCATATTGGAAAAGTAAGTCGATTAATATTTAAAATTAATTGTTATTTTATTTATCATTATGTTCGGATTAAATATCAATAAAGACATATCAAGAAAGACAGCGCATGATAATTTAAAATTAAGTTTATGTATTACAATTTTTTTTCAGATAATTATTAAAATACATAAGGAAGATGAATGTATAGATGCACCCATTCCAGCACTTCCGCGTTATTATTGTATGGCGAACAAAACATACATTATTTTCGGTGGCTTAGGTGGTTTCGGTTTAGAATTAGCCGATTGGTTGATCATTCGAGGTGCTGAGAATCTCGTGCTGGTCTCGCGCAAAGGAATAAAGAACGGATATCAGCAAATGAAAATCGAATTGTGGAAATCTTACGGAGTTAAGGTGTTGATAATATCGGATATGGACGCATCGAATGTTGATGGTTGTGAACATGTATTGAGAACAGCGGAGAAATTAGCGCCAGTAGACGCTATATTCAACCTTGCTGTGGTGTTGAATGATAAAATTTGCCAAAATCACACTATAGAGACATTTCAGGAACCGTTTAGAGCAAAAGCTTGGACGACGATGAATTTAGATCAATTGTCTAGAAAAATATGTCCTCAGTTGCGGCACTTTGTTGTCTTTTCTTCAGTTTCCTGTGGCAGAGGAAATGCTGGGCAGACCAATTATGGTATGGCGAATTCTATTATGGAAAGAATTTGCGAGAAAAGAGTACAAGAAGGTCTACATGGATTAGCGATTCAATGGGGTGCAATAGGCGATGTCGGTCTAGTGGCTGATATGCAAGACGATGACAAGGAAATGATTATTGGCGGTACTTTACAACAAAAGATAACCTCTTGTATCGAGAAATTGGAGGAATTTCTGTTACAAGAGCATCCGGTAGTAGCGAGTATGGTTGTAGCTGAGAAGCGTTCGGACGCTTTTGGTGCAAGTAATATTGTTGAAACTGTGGCTAATATTATGGGTAAGAATTATATAGAATAAAAAATTAATCAATTAATTAAGAAAGCGAATTAATATGATAACGAAAATTCAATATGTTAATGTAGGTTTGAAGGATTTGAATAACGTGGCTCGCCACACACCTTTACCGGAACTCGGTATGGACTCGATGATGGCCGTGGAAATTAAACAAACTTTGGAACGGGAATTCGATGTTTTTCTTACAGCGCAGGATATTCGTTATCTCAATTTTGCTAAACTTATAGAGATGTTTGACAAAGATACATCGATCGATCAAAATGTTCGAGATCTGAATGAACTAACTGGTATTAAACTGCTTGTTCGTTTGATAGGTAACGATCATCTGATACCCGACATTTGTGTGGATTTGTCAACAAAAAGAAACAATGCGAGAAGCGAAATATTTTTAGTGCCAGGTATAGAAGGCTGCGGAAGTATATTTGATTCGCTGGTACATCATATCGAAGCTCCTGCGACGTGCTTACAGCATGGAGCGTATAATATTGGCACAGGGTGTACTTCAGTAAACGAAATCGCTGATCGTCTCTTAAAAGTATAAATTTTATATCTAATTACTACCTTTTAATTGCTCTTTCTTTACATATCATCTCATAGAATATTAGAATAGCAGAGTAAAATTAATAACATTGTTTTTCAACATATTTTGTTATATCTTATAATTCTTTATTTGTTTGCAGAATATTATGAGCAAGAAAAAATTAAGTCAGAACTTTGTAATAGTGGGTTATTCATTAGGATCATTGATCGCAATTGAATTAGTGAGAAAATTAGAAGAGATGAATCTTCAAGGTCGATTAGTACTTATCGATGGCGCACCTGAGCAAATGAAATCAATATCAAGTCAACATTTATCTTTTAAGACGATTACCGAATTAGAAAATAATATTCTTCTGGGTATAATGGATACAATAAAACCAGCACTTAGTGGGAAGGTATATTATTCATAGACATTTTCTTTGAATGAGTCGTTTTTGATAAAAAATAAATATAATTAAATAATTTAATTTTGTAGCTTCTTTTGGAATTAAATAAATGCACCAACTGGAACGAAAAATTAGATGTTTTCCTATCTCATGTTCCTCCAACTTATACACTACTGTCAGTTGATAATAATAAATCTGTGTGTACAACAATTTACGAGCGATTGATCGCAGTTCATAAATATGATATCGCACAATTACCGAAAATTGAATCACCAATAGTTCTTTTAAAGCCTACGATACAATCATTGTCTTTTCCTCAAGAAGATTATGGATTACATAAGGTAATTGTTGTAATAATTACGAGAAGATCATTTATTTAATATAGTAGTTCTAATCAGCAAAATAATTTTTAGATTACTAAAGGAAAGATAAAAGTATGTTACATCGAAGGTAATCATATTACAATGCTGGATAACGATAAAGTCGTAGCTGCGATCAATGGAGAACATGTCGAAAGTGTCAAGAATTTAAAATTAGATTTAACAGATCATGATAACGTAACATCTATTAAAGACACCTATACAAGATCATAAAAGCAATATAATGAGATATTTTACAATTCAAAAATATTTAACTTTATTTTAAATATTTAACTTTGTAAAGTTAAATATTTAAAGAAAATTAAGTTAAATATTTAAAAAATTGTATTAATATAATATTATATATATATATATATATATATATATATATATATATATAATTGCTTGATAATATTATATTAATAAAATTTTTATAGAGAATACATTAACAAATAATTGTTTCATTAATTTCTAAGTGTCAAGTAAACGTATTTAATTTTAAATAGTTTATTATATTAATAAAAGTAAAAAATTGCAATAGGTTTTCGGAAGAATGTAAAATTTTATTTATCCACTTATACTTTTTATTAATCATATATAATTTTTATTTATATTTATGATATTTTTTACAAATATAATAAAAACATAGTAAATGTAGATAAAAATTATACTTCATTAACAAAATTATAGATGATAACGAAAATTATTAAAAAAATGAATAAAGAAAGGTTTCATGCTTCCAAAAGCAATGCAATATATATTCTTTTAGTAATTTAATGTTAAAAATTCTTATATATTCTTTAGCAGACTTATAGTTGTAATACTTATCAAATTTAATTCTTTAAAACTTTATTGTTATTGCCATAAAAGCGTACATGTAACAAGATTATTTTTAAAAAGACGACATTTTTGGTTTCTTCTTTAAAAAATTGTACAAAAAAGTAATGTACATTAAATTGATTAAATAAATTAATAGATTAAAAATTTCTGTTGTCAGTATTATTATTATAGATAATTTATTATGATATATCTTATAATCATTGATCGCAAAATGTATGTGTAATATTAATGGATTAAAGAAGATAAAAAGAATTTAGGTAAATTGGATTGAAATACAAATTCGCATTTCACAATATCGCGCAATATATTTGATGACGAAAGTAACATGCCGTAAATGTACTTAGCCTAGTGTTCGATGACGAGAATAACACATTGTAAGTAAACTTACCCACTCATAGACGTAGGAAATTTCCTGTGTTTACGGTCGCTGCATGCTCAACATTAAGAAAGCTATCAAAATTATTTTATTGTTTTTTAACAATAATATATAATTGTATATAGTTGTAGCAATATATAGTTCTATTTTTTAAAAGCAACAGAGAGAGTATTAAACTCGCATCAAATGGATAAAATTTTCGCACACTATTAATTTTTTTGATAATTAAGCTGTTAAATTGCACAATCTTTGCCGAATGACAGATTTTCATTTTGATATGTAACACGCAGTGCATATCTAAGCAAACAACATCACTGCAAGTAGACAACAAAATTCGATATTTTAAAATAATCGACTCTTTATATACATGCTTTTCTTAAAAATTTGAATCTATAATTGAAGCTCTATTTGAATTACTACAATAGACTTATAATCAACGCACAGTCATTGATTTCGGTCAATGATCAATTAATATAATACAGGAGAGGAAACTCATGACCATATTCAAAAAAAGATTGCAAATATAGTTCGTTAAATGGAATATGTTATTCGAATGTTTATTAATAATTTATACCTAAATAATGCATTATTTTTTTATAGTAAGGAATTGCGTAAAACTATTGTTCTTTCTCATCAGAATTACAATAATGTTAATTATATTCGAAAGATGCTATAGAGAATCACCTTTTTTTAATTTACATTTTGTAAATATACATGGCACATAATAGAGCAGACATTATCGTAAAGGAAGAAGCACACATGTTTTTTCCTTCATGTAAATAATTTTAAATAATTTTAAATTTTATTTGTGCTGTTTTAGAAGTTAATAGGTATACTTGTGACATTCACACATTATTTTCAAAGCTTATAAATAATGAGTTTCTCTAAAATTCTATTAAATACTTACCATATAGGTTTCTTATATAAGTAGGTTCAACATCTAAGCAATCCATATGTCGCAAGACTTCGCACTTTACCACAAAATTATAAATTTGGGTTTAAAAATCTGAATCGAAAATATTAAGATCTGTAATTTGAAAAAGAAAGCATATAACAAATGTGAAAATACAAAACAAAATATTAAATTGTCAATCAAGTTTGCGTTCTCACATTTGTATTATTTATCTTTTCGAATTCCAAATATTAATCTATTCGATTAAAAACATTTAAAAAAATGGATTGCAAGGAAACTACACTCCTCGATATTGAACCTGGAGAAGAAATCGTTATTTCTGGTATCGCCGGTAGATTTCCTGAATCTGATAACATGAAACATCTTCAGGAGAATCTATTTAATAAGATAGACCTCGGATCGAATGACAACCGACGATGGAATCACGGTATAATATTTTATTTCATTATATTATTATACATAATGTGAGAAAATCGTATCATATAATTTATGAAAATGTATATAATTATACATTAATTATCTAATTTTGACATTTATTTATAATTACACTATATAATCAATAAAATCTTTAAGTAAAAAGATATCTCGATTAAATCATATGATTTAAAATTTACAGATCATCCAGAAATACCCCAACGCACGGGAAAAATTAATAATTTGGAGAAATTTGATGCGGAATATTTTGATGTTTCCTTCAATGAGGTTCCCTTGATAGATCCTATGGGTAGAATGCTATTAGAACATACTTACGAAGCTATTATCGACGCGGGAGTAAATCCGAAAGATTTACGTGGAACAAAAACTGCAGTTTTTATTGGAGTGTGTTTTTCTGAATCGGAAGGAAATTGGTTTTATGAAAAACATCAGGTATTTAAATTCAATTTATGCATTTATCATAAAAAATTTTGATAGATATTATTATTTTTTATATATTAAATTGTAAGAATTAAAATGATTTTTTTATATTAAAATATATATGTAACAAGCATACAAATTCTCTAAATAATGTATGTATGTGCATTAGACATCTGGCTCTGCAATTTTTGGATGTAGTAAAGCTATGCTGGCAAATCGAGTCTCTCAATGGTTGGGTGTGACAGGACCGTCTTATTCAATCGATACAGCTTGCAGTTCAAGTCTTTTTGCTCTGGAGCATGCTTATAGAATTATGCGAACGGGGGAATGTGATGCTGCTATCGTCGGTGGCGCAAATCTCTGTTTGCATCCCAATTTAGCTTTACTATTCACACGACTTGGTATTGTTATTCATCAAAACTTATAACTTAACTTTAAAATATAAGAGATATATAAATTCGAGAACAATTTAAAAATATTATTCAAATATATATTTTTATATGTATAATATTATTATTCTCATAACTCTGTTTTAATTTTAGGAGTTTTATCGCCTAACGGAGTATGTAGACCTTTCGATGAAAATGCAAACGGTTATATGCGTAGCGAAACAATGAGTATAATATTTCTACAAAAAGCAAAGAGAGCTAAAAGAATTTATGCAACCGTCGTGTACGCTAAGATGAATTGTGACGGATATAAAGAGCAAGGCATTACATTCCCATCTAGCGAAATGCAAAGTGTTTTGCTTCAAGAGTTTTACGATGAATGCGGTATATCACCGTCTAATATAGCTTTTATGGAGGCTCATGGTACCGGTACCAAAGTTGGTGACCCAGAAGAAATAAACGCAATCGAAAAAATTTTTTGCAAGAATAGACAGTCTCCTTTGTTAATTGGTTCTGTCAAATCAAATTTAGGTCACTCTGAAGCTGCTGCAGGTTTATGTCAAATTGCTAAGGTAATAATGTAATTATAATATACATTATAAATTATTCTATTAATTTATTTCAATGTTAAACATCATAAAGAGACTTATTTTAAATTTTAATTTAAAGTTAATCCTGCTTTTGTTTTTTTTTGCTTTTAATGAATTAATTTTAATAAACAATAATAATTTAAAAATAAGAGAGTAGAAAGAGAGAAAATGAAGAATTTTTAATAATGATCTATTTCTCAAAAGGTTATAATTGCGATGCAAACTAGCATAATTCCGCCGAATATAAACTTTACACAAATACGGAAAGATGTTAAAGCCTTTGAGAAAGGAAGTATACGCGTAGTAAACACTCCAACACCATGGGAACCTAATTTTGTAGGTGTTAATTCGTTTGGTTTTGGCGGAGCCAATTGTCATATTTTACTGCAATCTAATTTGAAGCAAAAAGTTAATGGAGGCGTGCCAAATGATGATTTGCCGCGACTCGTCATCGTGTCTGGTCGAACTGAACAAGCAGTAGAATCATTATTAAATGAGGTATGCAAAATTTGTGCGTTTCATATTACCAATAAAAACATATTTATCAAATATTTTTTATTAAAATCAATAAATAAATTTGTTTGTTAGATTGAGAATCAACCGATAGATGTTGAATATATTCGACTGTTGCATGATCTTCATGCTGACGACATACAAGGTCATCTTTACAGAGGATACGCGATTGTCGAATCTAAAACATCTATAAAAATGATAAGAGAAATACATTATTATTCAGGTAAAAAAAAGCCGATATGTTTCGTGTTTTCCGGAATAGGAACGCAATGGCTTGGCTTGGGTATGCATCTTACTTTGTACATTATATACATCAGAGAAATAATATTTCACAATTAAATTATTTGAATTTACGCGTTGACACAGGACAAGCGTTACTACGGTTTCCAATATTTTATAAAACTGTAGAAAAGTGTGATACTATTTTAAGGACACGTGGAATGTGCATCATTAATGTATTAACAAATGAACACGAAGCAATTGTTAACAATATATTGAACTCGTTAGTTGGCATTACTGTAATGCAGGTGAAGAATTTTTCTAATTTGCATAATGTAGCGTAAATCATTCAAATTACATAAAATTTATTTAGAATTTACAAAAAGAAATACTTTACTTTCTTCTTTAGATCGGATTAATCGATCTTTTAAAGTCCATAAATATTGTGCCAGATTATGTTATCGGTCATTCGATCGGTGAACTCTGTTGCGGATATGTGGCTGGTAATTTTACAATGGAGCAAGTGGTTTTATCCTCGTATTATATAGGATTGGCGTTGAGTGAAGGAAAAGTAATTTATAGTGCTATAGCGGACATTGGTCTCAGTTATGAGAATACGAAAAATATATGTCCACCGGATATTGATGTAATCCATAACAATAATTCAAATACTTGCTGTATAAATGGGCCAAGCAAATCAGTAAAGACATTTCTAAAACAATTACAGGTTTGTTTATATATTTTCTCTTTTTAATTTTAGATTTAATAAAATTTACTTAATAAAAAATTATATTTAATTATTTATACTTCTTTAGGTTAACGACATCTATACTAAAGAAATTAAGAGCAGCAACATTTCTCTTCACAGTCGTCATTTGTCATCTGTAAGAGCCACAATTCTATCTTATTTAAATCGAATAATACCGCACACCATGACACATAATCAAAAGTGGCGAACATTTCTTCGTTGCACTAAGTTGTCCTATGCTGAATATTTCACAAATAATGTACTAAATCCTGTACATTTCAAGAAAATTGCGCAATTGATTCCTAAAAGTGCAATAACTGTCGATATTGCACCAGATGACATTTTTCAAAACGACATGAAAGAAGAAAATATAATCAATATTGCATTATTACAATGCAACTATGAAGACAATATTAAAGTATTCTTGCAAGGATTAGGAAAAATGTATAATAATGGCTTGCAACCGCAACTGGCGAATTTATATCCAACTGTGCATTTTCCCGTTAGCCGTGGAACACCAATGATTTCGCCATTAATCAAGTACATCAAACATTTTATCTATTAAATTTTTATCTATTAAATATTGAGAATAATAATAGAGAGAATAATATAAAAATGAAGAGAAAACATAAAATAATTTTCATAAAGCAGAAATTTTTATTTCCAATTAATTGAATTATGCAGATGTATTTCTTATATTGTTCTAGGTGGAATCATTCCGAGGATTGGTACGTAATGTGTTTTAAAACAAATAAGAAGATTACTTCCGGAGAAAGAATTGTCAATGTCACACTGAAAGACGAAACTTTTGAATATATAAGCGGTCATGTAATCGATGGAAGAAACTTGTTCCCGGCTACAGGATATCTTGCTCTCGTTTGGGATACGATTAGTATGCTGAGGGGTCAGTGGCTTAAAGAAATATCGATCGTATTTGAAAATGTCAAGTTTATTCGAGCAACGCATATTCCAAAGCAAGGAGACTTGGACTTAATAATAATGATTCAGAAAGGTAGAAGAGAATAGAAACTTATACGCATATTCCGTAAATAACTTCTCAATATAATATTAATATAAATGCAAAAATAATTATTTAAAATATATATATATATATATATATATATAAATATATATATATTTACTACTTAGGCACTGAGAACTTTGAAATAATAGAAGGAGATAGTACTGTCGTTACCGGTACAGCGCGCATTCCATCAGATCCTGCTAAAGAAAGAATATACCTTTTACAAGAAGATTGTGAGAATGAGGAAGAAGTCCTGAAGACGAAAGACATTTATAAAGAACTTAAATTACGTGGATATCAATATGCCAATCTATTTCGAGGATTAAAAAGTTCATCCACTACTGGCAAGCAAGGACACATTTTTTGGATGAATAATTGGGTAACATTCATGGATAATATGTTGCAAATAAAAATCTTCGGAAGAGATATGAGAAGTCTTTATGTTCCTACCGAGATACAAAAACTAGTGATTGATACAAAGTTTCATACAAGATATATACGAAATATAACAGCGGAAGAAAAACGTAAGTTCATAGAAGGATGTATATATTTAGAGAAAAAGAGAGTACTTTTATTAACATTACAATATGTATATTCAATATACGTTTTACAAATATCTTTATAATTATAAAATTTGTTAAAATGTAAAAAGAAACTTATTAAATAATTATAAAGATATAACTTAAAAAATGATTTTAAATTTTAGAAATACCTGTGCACGTGTACAATGATTTAGATACTATAGTATCAGGTGGCATTGAAATTCGTGGTGTGAAAGCTACTTCTATATTCCGTCGAAAGCAAACAAGCACTCCTGTTCTCGAAGAGTATAGATTTGTAGCGCATCGTGACGGAGCTGAGGTTTCTTTACAAGAAAGCATAATATTATCGACGCATCTCGCTTTAGAGTGTCATCAAGTAATGAAAATAAATATTATTGAGTTGATTGAAAACGATGATGAGGTAACAACAGAAGAATTAGCGTCTCCATTATTTCTCGAAGTCTTAAATAATCTGCCGTTGATTAAACCAAACCTCAGTTTAATAACCCGAAAAGATCGTTTCGATTCTAATGTTCTTTCTTCAAAAATCACAATTTCGCAGTCCATAAAGCTATTAAAAGATAATAATGCGATATTAGTGACTGGATTTAATCTATTAACAAACGATAAGAATGAAACTTTAAAAAAAATTCTGGGGGCATTAAAGGATGGCGGATTCATATTGACACGAGGACAGCCACTCACAAAAGACGATATTGCAAATACAGAGAAGCACGATTTAGCAATAGTCCTTGAAAAACGCACGAAAAAGGAACATATTGTACTCTTAAAGAAAAGGAAAAGATCGTGGAGACGAGCAGAAGTCATTTGGGTGAATAATTACGAGTTTTCTTGGTTAGAACAACTAATATCCAGCTTAAATATTGAGAATAATATACAGAGAATAATTTTAGTAGGAGAAAAAGATTCGGAATGCGGTTTATTAGGTCTTGTAAATTGTTTGAGAAAAGAACCAGGCGGAGAATTAATAAGAAGTGTATTGATCCAAGATGAGACAGCACCGAAATTTTCTTTAGACGAACCGTTCTATGCGAAACAACTCCAGATCGATCTCATTATAAATGTTCTTCGTCCAGGAATGATATGGGGATCATACAGACATCTTCCGCTAGCACCTTTAGAGCCAAAACTTTCGTATCATGCTTTAGTCAATCAAATGGTACGTATCCGATTTTTGTATAAAATAATACTATTTTGGTCTTATTATCTTATAAATAACACATTTTTCGATATTTTTTATAACAGTATGTATTCTCGTTAGATTCGCGGTGATTTGAACTCATTTCGCTGGATCGAGGGCCCGATTGTTTCGGGTTATCAGCACGAAAATCTTTTTCGCATAGTTTATGCGTCTATTAATTTTAAAGATGTAATGTTAGCCACGGCTAGAATCATCATGGATGAATATATGTCACGCGGACGATTAGAAGAATGTCTAATAGGTTTCGAATGTGTCGGAATCGATAGTGCTGGCCGTAGAGTAATGGGTATTTGGGAAAATAGGTACGTTATTGTTACTTACAAGTTACTTCACAAGTAATTTTAGCTAAAAACTATACGAGAAAATATATAATTTAGATTATTTATATAATTTATATTTGATGAAAATTTCGTCCATATATTCATATTTAAATTTCAAAAAAAGTTAAAAAATTTATTTAAAAATTTTTATTACTTTTTTTGAAAAAAAAACAAAATAAAAAATATATTTTATTTTTTGATAAAGATAAAATTTTCTTCTAGATGTATAGCAAATATGCGCATAGCCGATAGAGCTTTATACTGGTATGTTCCCGACGAATGGACTTTGGAGGACGCTGCAACAGTCCCCTGCGCTTATTGCACATGTTATTACGGATTATATGTAAAGACAAGAATGAAGAAAGGTGACAAAATATTAATTCATTCGGGCACTGGTGCTGTTGGTCAAGCAGCGATTAATCTCGCACTTCATGAGGGTTGCGAAGTATTCGTCACTGTCGGTACTCCAGAAAAGCGGAAATTTATAAGAGAGACCTTCCCATCTATTCCAGAGAATCATATCGGAAATTCACGCGACACTAGTTTCGAGCAAATGATATTCCAACAGACCGAAGGTCGCGGTGTTGATATAGTACTAAATTCATTAGCCGAAGAAAAACTTCAAGCTTCTATTCGTTGTCTTGCAAAAAATGGACGTTTCGTGGAGATTGGCAAGTTCGATTTTATGGCTAACAATATGTTGGACTTATCAATATTTTCGAAAGGCATAACATTTTACAGCGTTATGTTGGATAATTTATTCTCAGCTACTGAGGAACAAAGAATGGCACTGAGTAAAGTAGTAGTCAATGGTCTTATTAGCAGAGCCATCAAACCAATCAGCAGGAAAGTTTTTCAAAGAGATGAAATTGAAGCTGCATTTAGATATATGACAGCTGGAAAGCATATTGGAAAAGTAAGTCGATTAATATTTAAAATTAATTGTTATTTTATTTATCATTATGTTCGCATTAAATATCAATCAAGAAAGACAGCGCATGATAATTTACAATCAAGTTCATGTATTACAATTATTTTTAGATAATTATTAAAATACATAAGGAAGATGAATCTATAGATGCACCCATTCCGGCACTTCCGCGTTATTATTGTATGGCGAACATGACATACATTATTTTCGGTGGCTTAGGTGGTTTCGGTTTAGAATTTGCCGATTGGTTGGTCATTCGAGGTGCCAAGAATCTCGTACTGGTCTCGCGCAAAGGAATAAAGAACGGATATCAGCAAATGAAAATCGAATTGTGGAAATCTTACGGAGTTAAGGTGTTGATAATATCGGATATGGACGCATCGAATGTTGATGGTTGTGAACATGTATTGAGAACAGCGGAGAAATTAGCGCCAGTGGACGCTATATTCAATCTTGCTGTGGTATTGAATGATAAAATTTGCCAAAATCACACTATAGAGACATTTCAGGAACCGTTTAGAGGAAAAGCTTGGACGACGAAGAATTTAGATCAATTGTCTAGAAAAATATGTCCTCAGTTGCGGCACTTTGTTGTCTTTTCTTCAGTTTCCTGTGGCAGAGGAAATGCTGGGCAGACCAATTATGGTATGGCGAATTCTATTATGGAAAGAATTTGCGAGAAAAGAGTACAAGAAGGTCTACATGGATTAGCGATTCAATGGGGTGCAATAGGCGATGTCGGTCTAGTGGCTGATATGCAAGACGATGACAAGGAAATGATTATTGGCGGTACTTTACAACAAAAGATAACCTCTTGTATCGAGAAATTGGAGGAATTTCTGTTACAAAAGCATCCGGTAGTAGCGAGTATGGTTGTAGCTGAGAAGCGTTCGGACGCTTTTGGTGCAAATAATATTGTTGAAACTGTGGCTAATATTATGGGTAAGAATTATATAGAATAAAAAATTAATCAATTAATTAAGAAAGCGAATTAATATGATAACGAAAATTCAATATGTTAATGTAGGTTTGAAGGATTTGAATAACGTGGCTCGCCACACACCTTTACCGGAACTCGGTATGGACTCGATGATGGCCGTGGAAATTAAACAAACTTTGGAACGGGAATTCGATGTTTTTCTTACAGCGCAGGATATTCGTTATCTCAACTTTGCTAAGCTTAATGAGATGTTTGACAAAGATAAATCGGAGGATAAAAGCGATCGAGAAGAGAACGAATTAACTGGTATTAAACTGTTCGTTCGTTTGGTGGGTAACGATCATTTGATTCCCGATATCTGTATAGATCTTCCGACAAAAAGAGACAAAGAGAAAAGCGAAGTATTTCTATTGCCGGGAATGGAAGGCTGCGGAAATATATTTGATTCATTAGTACAACAAATCGAAGCTCCAGCAACATGTTTACAACATGGAATATATAATATTGGTGCAGATTGTACTTCAATAAACGAGATTGCTGATTGTTTGCTACAGGTATGACTTCTTTATCGGTAGAATAATAATTAGAAGAATATTTATATAATTATAATTAAAATGTTGTATAAAATGTGGAGAAAGATAATTAATATAATGTTATTTTAACTAACTGTAGTATAGTATATTTCTATATCTTGCAATCTTTTATATTTGTAGCATATTTTAAGCAAAAAGAAATTGAATCAAGACTTTGTAATTGTGGGCTATTCAATGGGATCATTGATAGCAATAGAGTTAATGCGAAAATTAGAACAGCTGAATCTCCAAGGTCGATTAGTGCTTATCGATGGTGCACCGGAGCAGATAAAAGCAATGGCAAATCATTTTTTACCTTTTACCACGTTTTTCGAACTCGAGAATAATGTACTTCTTAGTATAATGGATACTATACAACCAACACTTAGTGGGAAGGTATATTATTTGTAGACATTATATTTAAATGAATAAGAAGAGAGATTTTTTGTGAAAATTATAAGTAATTTAATTTTTACAGCTTCTTTTAGAATTAAATAAATGCACCAGCTGGGATGAAAAATTAGATACTTTTATAACTTATGTTCCTTCATCTTATACACATTTATCGACTGAAAACAATAAATCTTTGTGTACAACAATTTACAAGCGGTTGATCGCTGTTCATAAATATGATGTCACACTATTACCAAAAATTAAATCACCTATAATACTCCTAAAACCTACAATACAAGCGTTATCTTTTTCTCAAGAAGATTATGGTTTACATAAGGTAACTTTTATGATGATTATAGAAAGATTACTCATACAGTAAAATTATTTTACAGCTAAATAATTTTCAGATTACTAAAGGAAGTGTGGAAATATGTTATACCGAAGGTAATCACGTTACGATGATGGATAACGATAAAATCGTCGCTGCAATCAATGGAAAACATATTGAAAATATCAAAAAATTAAAGCTAGATTTAATAGATGATAACGTAACATCTGTTAAAAGTATTTATTCCAGATCATAATAGTAGTATAATTAGATATTTTAATTTCTTTTTTAATTAAATATGTTTTCTATCTATATTTTGTGATGTTTGTATTGTATCTAAATCTAAATTCAACAAGCATATGTAAAAAACATTTAGATAAATTTAAAATATTTAACTTTATAATTTATTTATATAGTTAAATATATAAGTTAATTTTGGAAGTTAATGTTTAATTGTATATAAAAAATATTAAAGTAAAAAAAATAGAATATATATTTAGTTTAAAAGAAATTATGAATCAATAAAGTTGTATTTTTTTCCAAAATTGATGCAATATTTTATATTTTTATTCATTTAATGCTATATACTCATGTGCCATATTACACTGTTATCAAATATACTTAACTGATTTACAATACTTATTACATCTAATTTCTTAGAGATTGATTGTTGTTGCTGAAATATAATCATATTGCGTATAGTAAAGATTTCTCAAATCAAGGCGATTTAAAAGATTGTACAAATATTACTTTGTTAAACTCATCAACCTCTCATTAATTAATCGATTAAAATTATTATTCAATATATTATTATTACGGATAATATATTATATACTATATAGTCATGAATGCAATATATGTATTGAAAAAAAATAAAAAGTATAATATTATAGACAAATAGGAGTATATAAATTCGGATTTCAATATATCAGCCTTTCATAAAAGCGTTTGGTAAATGAAAGGAAAGAAATACCCGAAATAATTAGTAACAGTCAATGACCATCTTTTTTTCGTAGTTCCATTCACGCATCGTTACTTTACTCTATTTCCTTCCATCCTCGCAACATATACCACTCTGCGCAAACTCTACCCCACTCTGATATTTTATCACTCATCCATGTAGAACACCCTGTAGTCGAATCAGTATAACGGAGCGCGCTTGACGCGATGTTACTATGCAGTATACTGCGTGCAGCGTTATCCGCGTCTTTTGGGACCGTCGTGCAGATTGCAATCTTCTTACTGCAAAACTCCAATATCTCCAGAGTGCTCGCGTCCATGCCGCCAGGAGCCGGTCAGTGACCTAGTGCGATTCGTAAAATAGATTACTATGAATGGACAAAATCGATACGAAAGAGTAATATAAGTGTTTTTCTTGACAAAGAAATGCATTTTATCATTTTTTCATTGCAATTGCATCATTTTGTGTAAAGCAATGTGTTCAGTTGATAATGGCTTTCAAGATTATTTTTTGGATTTACTTTTAATTTAATTAATCTTTTATATTTATGCATTTTATACAAATCTCATTGATGTTATTGGAGATATTAGAATTCTGCAAAGCTTTTTATTATTCTGGTCTGATTGAAGAAATTAATTTATAATAATAATAAATTAATAAATTAATTTATAATTTATAATAATTTATAATAAAATTTATTATAAATTATAATTTGTTTTATAATATATGTATCCTGTTTCTTATGAATTACGCTGAAATTATTACACGCATACAAATTCATTTTATGAATCACACACACATATCTTTAATTTATATTGCTAATTTTTACGGTAAATTTTTACGCGCGTATATGTAGCGTGAATCGAGCAACGAGCAGGTCGTATATACGTAGTTCCACGTGCTCGATCGATTCGACGCGAGTCTTTCTTTCACATCGTGATACTACACGTGCGCGTGAAAATACAAGCAATGTGCCGTGATCTCATTTCCGCGGGGGTGCATCCTTCCGTGACCTGACGCGTTGTCAATGATGTTAGCGATTCCGCGTAAGTCAAAATCGAGCAGGTTGCCAACTAGGCGCCAGTCTGCGAGACAGCTTAAGTAATTCAACGCTCTCGTGCAGGTGTGCGTTCTAGCAGGTAATCAATATTATTATCGGCACATGCTTGTATAAGTACAGCTTGTACGCGTACTACTATCCTGATTACGGTAAAGTAGCATTGTATTTTCGCGATAAGATTTATTATTTTTTTTTATATCTTGTGATATTTAAATAAAATTTGCATATTTATATTATCGTTAGAAGAAAATAGATTTTCTTTAGAACACGAATTGTATCGAGAATATAATGACTTGATACGTGTAAATATTGCGAAGAATTGTCGACATAATTTGATTCGTGCTTCGTAAATTCACGGGAATACCAATGAGAATGCAATGGAATTAGCAACGCGGTATACGGGAATTAATAGCGATCAATTCGATTCATTCTCACCATAGGAACTCCGTTTTCTATCGATTTAACACTACCATCATGTACTAAAAATACCTGAGATGTGCTGCGCGACTATAAACTCTGCATACGCATAGTATGCTTAAGTACAGTTGAGTGATAGAAAAAAGTATGCATTCGCATTTATATACAATGCATTATGTATAGTACATGTGCACGTTCACATGGAAAGAAAGTTATACAATGCCGGAATTATTAGATTCTCTTTAAATTTCTTGATAATTGTGACGAGACAAGGAAACAGAGACGAGGTACTCGTCCTCGCAGATACGAAGTTGCAGAATCACGCGAGCAGTCAGGATGCGCGTAACTTTTACAACAATATTTCCACGCACCGGAAAGTCAAACGAACCGTGAAACCAGGTCGTCGTAACAACGCGAAAAAAATTACGCGTGAAGAATAGATCATGGACGTGTTCCAGGTAGTGTCATAATTGATCGACAATTTTAGATGATCAACTGAAAAAATTATTCAACGCAGAATCAATTTTATACTAAAGCTCGTGTGCTTGCTAAAATAAAACATGAGCCAGATTTTCCTTTTTATTTTTAATAATTAAAACTTTTAATTCAAGAGGGCATTACCCTCTAATTATTAAAATAATTAAAATTATATAATAAACAGCAATAATTATTATATTTTTCGTCTGAAATCGCAACGAAAATAGTTTTGCTCACGCATGTAAATGGATTGTACAATTTTCATGAGCTTTGATCACGTGATCGCGTGATAAGAAATTCCTTCTTCTGTTGCGTTCCTCGTCTTTATTATCGCATCTATTATGATCGGTTCATCTTCAGCCATGTCGTGACATCGCCAATAAGTCGCATGACTGTCGATCGTTGACCTCATCGACGAGGAAAAGCCTTTACATATATACTTGTATTTTCTTGTCCTGTTTCCTTCACGAATCTTTACAGACATTTTCATTGACAGGACACGAAATCATTGAATATTAAAATTTAAGACAATTATTAATATTTTTTATAACTATTAGATAAGATTAAAGATTCATATCCTACAACATTTATTTAAAAAACTATAACAGCAATTTAAAATATTATATAAAGAAGATGTACAATATTTTAAATATTTTAAAATTTGTATGAGCATGTGTGTTGCATGCGTTTTATATTTGAAATCTAAAGGCACGAAGATAGGAGATAATTTTTGTAATTTTAATAATAAATGTTGCTTTAAGAATATTAGCCATATTTTTATCAGACGTAATAAAATCAAATATAATGAAATCAATTTTTATTCGTGCACAGAAGACGAGATTATTCTGATCGAACATCTACCAGGGCGGCGGGTGCATCTGCAAGATTTCTTCTGGACCGGTCTAGAAGATGCGCCGTCATGGGTAGATCCCAATCAGGGTTTAACATTTTACGAGACAAAGACGATCGTTCATACTGTCACAGTTTACACTCCGAGCGACGAGAAAGGTCCATCAGACCCTATATCGCCTCATCGTCCAGATACTTACAATCCGGAATGTATTACGTGCATAGAACCGACACCTAGGTTGGACGATGATGACGATCAGAGTATCGGAGTTCTTATCGGAGATGATCCAGGTCCAAGGTAGCTGCAACTAATTAATAAATTAATTATAAAATAATATATGTTAAATGGTTCTCAAAACTTTTTAAAAATATTTTTTAGAATCAACTTAAAAAATGACAGAAAAATATTTTGATAAATAAGTCCATTATATTTATAAAAGTAATCTGATATAAATATTAATAAAATAAATATCATTTGTAATGTAGAGATAAAAATTGAAACTTACATTATCAGATATTGGTTGTTGACGGTTCTTCGACCAGGGGAGACTGTGCCACCTAAAGTCGAGCTTCGTTTAGCTCGCTTATATCGAGCCGCATTTTCCAGACAACAACAACGTCACCTTGGTCTGCTATCGACGGATCCACGATCTCGAAGAGACGCGTTATTACGTGGCTTAGTTGGTCGAAAGGTAAAATGTGTGCACGTTTAGATGTTAACTTTGCCCACTCTTTTTTATTCTTCTCGATACGCACAGATTGTACCGGAACGTTTTGAAACTTCGTCTCAAGTAAAAGTTCGTCAAGAAGAAATTTCTGTCAGTGCAACCAAAGCTCAATTATCCGAATTAATCCATCATAATTCGAATGATACCATCGAGAATTCATCGATTCACGAAAAAACCGAAACGAGCGTTTCCAATTTAACCGACAACAAATTGTATTTTCCAAACGTTTCGCAAATCAAATCCATGAGGCTGATAGAAATTCCCAAGCCGAAGACGATGTTGCTGCCGACATTCGAAGTCGACGCGATGGACGATCGCGAGAAACCTACAAAAGAGTTTGCCTTGAAAAAGATCGTCAAAACTTTAAAAGGAAATACGAGATCTTTACCTTCGGACGATGAACCTAGAACTATCGATCCAACATATTCCGATGAAACTGATCATTCCAGCGAGCAAGTCCCGCAGGAATTGATGCCGACATCCACAGATTCGAAATCCAACAATGACGTCGTCTCCAGAAACCGATCGAGCGATGAAGAGAGTGTAAGTATGCGCTCGAGGTTGCGTTTAGCGGATGGATCAATTCCGGGGGTCGTAAAAGTCAGAATGCAGAATACGAGTGTTATCGAAGGCGGTGCAATGAGATTAATTTATTCGGTTCATCTGGACGATAAGCCCGTTCCCGCTGAAATGGCTGCGAGAGACATGGCACTTCTCTCGCCCCAGGAGGTGGCTCTGGAACTTGGCGCACCAGTGATTATTCAAAGCGAGCGTAAGTAAATAGTAGTTTTTACTAGACAGAATTGCACAAAAGAAACGTAAGCATTAGAAATTATCTTATATACTTTATATTCGTAGCTTATTTGAAGGAGAGTCGACCTCTGGCTCTATCGAGGAAAAGGGACGCCTGGTTGCTGATCGGTGCAGCTAGCGCGGGTGTCGTTCTCCTAATTTTGGTTCTCACTGGTTTAATCTTGGCTGCCAAAAGAAAGAGAGCACATAGTGCTGTCGTTGCGCCGCCAAACAAAAGTATCCTGAAAAAGGAACGGGAATATACAACTACGACACCTGGTCTCGATAACGCTGCGTTTTCAACGTCGGAAACCGAAATTAAGGTATATATACACATAATATAACTACTTTTTCTTTTAAATATATATAATAATAAGAAAAAATATTTTTTATAAGTGTATCAATCTTATGCATATGTTTTAAATATTGATTTAAATTTGATTACATGTAAAATATTTAATAGGAAAGCTGAAACATATATCTGCCAAATTATATTATGTGTAACAGAAATGTCTCATAAAGAAAGGAAATACTTTATCATTTTTTAAATTCTTACTTTGCGTGCCAAAGATATGGGGTACCATAAGGAAATAAATCTGATATCGTTAAAACCATTACGGCACGCGAACGAGCAACAAACGTCGAGCATTGCGAACCAAAAGACAATTTCCTCGATGTCAGGGACGATATTGATTTTAACAGAAACATTATTCCGTTCCCCAGCAAATTGTTACGTTTTAAATCGCATATCTTTGCCTCTTACGCGGCTCTCCCTTGTTCGCAGACGGACGGTACCAGTCAGCGGCAAACTCCACGAACTTTGTCCAGAACTCCGATCACCCCCGACACGCCCGATAGTTTAGAACTGGGCATTCACGAAGTTTCTAGCGACGACGACGAAGAACTGAAAAAGACTCGCGGTTCGACCCCTTGGGGTACTCAAGAACATCCAGCTAAGAAAGCAAGGTACTCAACAAAGTTCTTGACAGATACTTACAAAAATAATATTTAAAAATTAATAATATAATCTTATTTTAATATTTTATTAATTTTAATTTATAGTAAAAATATAAAATATGCGATATAATCTTCTTATAATAATTATAAATTTTACAAAATATAGAACATCGCATGCAAAAATGATAAGAACAAATGCAATGGACCAACCCAGGACACCGGATTCGTTGGACACAGTGACCGACCACGTGGAGACATTGGAATCATTGGAAAATGGTTACGTAAAACGAGAGGAATCTACCGCTTCACCGCGATCTTACTTGTCAATGCCATCGTGCAAACAATTTCCTAGCATGCGTAGCGTGGAACCGCTGTCAAGAGTGCTAGAACCCGTCATGGTAATTAGTGAAAAATATTAACATTGATCTAATCGATGTAAATTCTTTATACTAATAAAAAGATGCACTCCAGGTCAGACACTTGGACATCGATTCTCCGGAATTAGTACGCCGCGATAGAGATGGCAATATTGACGATACATTTCTTGCGAGAACATCGAGTGCCTCGAAGGATCCTGGAGCTGTAGGACCAATTGTTTGGAATCTTAGCAAGCAGTTGTTTTCGACAGAAGGTATCATATCGCTTCTTGTAGTTCAATTTTATATTTATGATAATTATTTAAGAACTTATCAGCGACGTTAATATTTCTGTGACTTCGATTACGAACGAATAAATAATAATCTTACATAAATTATTGTAATTCAAGAATGCGAAATGTATAGACTTGTTCGTTCGCAATCGATTATTATAAAATATAAGCAATATCTATCTCTTCACAATCTCTCGAAAGACTCAACTTGCCTAAAGGTAACGGTACGTCCGAAACGGATGTCGATGGAATGTACCATCTACCATCGGGACCCGTGGGTCGCGCCAGGAGGAGACTCCACGAACTCCTGGAGGACTCATTCAGTCTCTTCGGAAGTAGAGATGTCAAGATCAAAGAGCCGCAGCAGCCGCAAACGTCACAACCGTCGGCTTCCTTTGCACGTACGGCGGATACATTCGCGATACTTTCGGAGACGAGAGGCAAATCCGCCCACGTCAGGTACATATCCTTCCTCTACTTCTTGTTCTTCTTCTTCTCACAGGTAATTAATCATTAAAGTTTAATTGTTAAATCATTCCTATATGAAAAAAGACATGTGACGCTTGAATTGTTGCCGTTTTTCCGCGATTGGTTCTTTTATTGCGCTCAATTCATGTTGTGAGCAGCTGTCAGAATAGTTATACTAACAAATTCAATTTGTTGAAAAATGTATGATTTATTTTGTTCGGTACTGTATTTCTGCCTTTTTCAGAATTAATAAAAGACATATATTTAATAAAAAACTTGCGATAAAAAATCGTCCGACGATTATACGATATTTTATTATATATGTATAATTAATTTTATTAAAAAGTGTGATAAAAATAATTGCATTATTATGCAGTCCAGTAGCAACGCCAACGATGGAAATCAAAACACGACCACGTACATCATTACCACGTAGGGATCTTGACGAGGATATTCCAGAGACAGGCCAGGCTGAAATTCATTCACGTAGTGCCTGGGGTTCAAGGCCGCTTAGCGCAGGTCCATTCCATAGACCGAATTTACCGGAAGTGGAAACTAGACGTATATTGGCAGACAGCAGACTTCCACCGGAAGATCCTGCGGTACCTTTAATCGCGTCGATCAAGAAGGAACTCGAAAAGTTTTCTCCTCATCATCAATAAAAGGTAAACAGGGTGCGATAGATACTCTTGCTTAAATACTCTCGCAAAGTGATACGTCAATTTTAAGAATCAAAAGACGAAAATATGTAAATATTTGATAAACTTTTGTCAGAAAATTTTCTAACTCGACGTTGAACCTTTTTCATCATAATGTGAAGTAAAATCATATTTCGTACGTCATAATAAATGCGCGAATATTTCGCAGAAGATAAATCATTCTGTTTCAATGCTATAAAGAGCAAAAATTGTGCCACTAAATTTGGCTTATTAACCAATCACTGTATATATATCATATTGAACAAGTCACATGTAGAATATATATATGTAGAATACATTTGTAATCTTGATACAATCATAAATAATTAGTTTAATTCATATAAAAAATTTCAAAAGATTAATTCTTTTGTAACTGCGATCCGTCCAACTTAGAAACATATTTATAACTGAAATACATAATAAACTTGTATGTATAATGCGCGTGGTCATTTTATTATATCTATTCTATATACATATATGTACAAAAAATAATTATATATAAAATTGATTTAATCGGAACAGTAAAATGTGACATGAATGTAATATCACATCTTCAGGCAGCTTTCACCACTTCAACGAAACGATCGTTATTACAAAAATCTTTGTATGTATGTTCGTGATGTAGTTTAAAGTCGGGATATTTATTTGTGAAAAATTGTATATATTCAGGATGAGTGGGATCAACTTCTAAAAAGAGACGTCCACCAGGTTTTAACACTTTGGCAGTATATTTTAGGAGCGGTTTGATTATTTTTAGTCCATCATCGCCGCCATCCAATGCCCTGAGATCCTCGTAACTGCATAATAGATAAATTATTTATAAATTATTTTTAAATTATTTACATTTACAACTATTGAAAAATTTGCAATTATAATTGTATTACATTCTTATCTCGGGTTGCAATTTTGATATGTGTTTTGTCGGCACGTAAGGCGGATTACTGACTACAAAATCAAACAATCTTAAATTTAGATCCATGTCACTGGCGCCATTCAATTCCTTAAAAACTTCAACAGTTGCATCTGACTTTAGAGTTGCATGTATCACTGTGACTCGATTTGCCAAGTTCAATTTATCCCGATTTATTATAGTTAAATCGCACGCATAAGGGCTCGTGTCAATCGCTGTGCATTTGATCTAGAAAAAAATTCTAACATTAAATTTTATTAATTATTGATTGATTTAGCGAAAAATAAAATATCATCGATAATATTATTATAGTATCCTTGTGTGTACCTTTTCACAAGCATGAGCGAGAGCCAAGGATATTGCGCCTGAGCCGCAACCAATTTCCAGGATTTCGCAACTATCGAGTTGCAACGAATTCAGTCTCTTCAACACAAAATCTACCAATATTTCTGTCTCCGGACGAGGAATGAAAATCGGTGGCACAAGTTTCACGGTGATGTCTCGAAAATCCCACTCGCCAATAATATACTGAACTGGCATTCTGCAAGGACTCTGCATTGATGAGCGAATATAAAGGACTTCACGCATGGTCTAATATAGTAAAATATGAATTCTTACCTCGATAACCGACATTCGCACATCGATTCCAATTTTTCGATTTGATTTGCATTAAGTCGATTATTCCTGACGTTCAAAATATCTATTATCTGTAAATATAATAATAAGAAAAAAATTAGAAAAATTGTCTAATAAAATCTAAAAATGTATTTTATTAGAGAAACTTCAGTATTTATTCTTCTTTATATAATATAAGACATATTTTCCTGTCTTATTGTCATATGATATTTATATTTTCTATTTTAACACAATTTTATAAAAATAATGGATATTTAGAAAATAACAGTCATAAAATTCGCGCCAAACAGCTGCTCCAATAATAATTTCAAACAAAAAATAAAATAATAGAACGCGCATGCGTTAGACAAAATATGTATGCAAACTAATTATCAGTAAACTACACTCAAAATGAAAAAATAGCGAGTCACCTTCTTAGTTCCTATAACATGCGCCACTATGTGTTCTATCGATTCTACTGGCTCCGTTATGCCTTCGTTCTCAAATCGGCGACTCCATTGATCAATAATATCACCGACGGTATAGTCACATGCGTTCGAACTGAACGATCGTCGCACTGGATGTCTCAACGTAACAAAGTTGGGACTGTTAATTGTCAAACATTGCACATAGGTAGATATGGACGGATTACTGAAGACAGCGCGCGTCTTCAAGATACTCCGACACCACATGATATTTCATTAGATGCTGTGAAAACTGCAAAATACAGACTTGAGAGGTTACCAGATGTTATTGAGGTTGTGCCATGAGCTGATAGACCATGTTAGAGATTCATCGGGAATTATACACGTATTTTAAGTTCTATTATGTAGAGAAACTGCTGCCAACTGGCGAGATGAAAATCAGTTGTACGTTTATCGACTATACGACAAGATGAAGCAATCTCATATGCAAAAAGAATAAGAAAATGCATAAAACAATTAGAACATGCTGTTTCAAATATAGAACATAATAGAAATATATTTCATGCGCAATAGTATTGATGTAAAATGGTATTTTTTTAAAATAACATTATCAACAAAATAGCTTTATATGTTCTGGAAAAGACTTATGTTATTAATTCTTTTCATCAATGAACTATACACACAATTATTTAATCGAATTTATATATTATTTAATTATTATCCTATCACATCGTTATATTGTATTCATTGAAGTACACTGAAATATCAATATTTCAGTCCTTCCTTCCATTAGGACTCGTCTACCTGATTCTCCAACCGACTGATGGTGAAATCATTTCCTTTCCCAACTCGGAAAGCGGCCAGAGCTGAAGTCAAAGACCTGGTCTGTCTTAGAAGATGCCGCTAAAGCCGTGCTCGGCCAGTGGATCGAAAGGTCTAAAGGCCGCTCACGCATGCGCGAATACAAGAGTAGCTGTCTGGAAAATGAGGGTGCTGGCTAAACAGACCGTTGTCTGGCCAAAGGCGCTAGCAGTCGCCACCGGCCCCGCTCCCAATCCATGCTGCCATGACAGTCCTTCTCCGTGTCGCGGCGAGTGCACCGAGTACCAACGCGTTTAAAGAGCGCCGCTGCTGAACGCCCGACTGATGTACCTATCCGCATTATACTGTGAGAAGGTACTCGACCGAGATCCGATCTCGGCTCGTGGCTCGTTACAGTGTTGGAATTACGCCAAAGCAGCTCTCGCGCGGGTCGACCAGGTCGACCAGGCGCGGCCGCCCTGGGTGTGCTGATCATCACTATCATCATCAGCGGGAGTCTCGCAAAGCGCGTGTGCGCGTCGTGGATATCCGTGTGCAAAGTGGCGGGTGTTGTGGCGACGGTATTGTTGATGTGATGCGTGTCCCGGAATCCCGCACGCACGTCTGGCTCGCTGTCAGTTACGGAGCACTAAGTACTAGTCCGCCTCGAGATACAACAGGCAGCTACGCTTCTTTTGGATTCGGACGATCGATGCGCCTCGTCGAATCCCATAGGTAGGCAGGATACATCTTCTCCGAGACTTACCTCTTAAGCATCTGCCGGAAATGAAAATGCCACACGCGCTTTTCGTAGCGAAGCGCAAAGTGCAGCGAGCATCGATCGCTTCGAGACATTCCGAGTAACTTGCTGGTTGCATGCCTCGAGAAATTCGCCGGTAATTCGCGTATAATTTTTATCGAAATTCGAGATTTCTGAAAAATAAAATCCTGTCAAACTTCTACGAAATTTTCAGAATTCAAAGCTTATCGACATTTAAATTTTCTTATTTTATTAAGTAAATTTGAACTTTTTTCTTGTAGAAAATTGTCTGGTAATAGTGAAACTTTGATTATTCTTTATTCGTTTTTAGCGCACGCGAATCGATACGTTGATCGCAGTCGAGATTTTCGGAGCAGTCCGCGTGCTCCGAAAAATTCGCCGGCAACGAGCGCGCTCGTATGCGAATCAACGTACGTATGATCGATCGATACGTCCGTAGATTCGTCGGCGTAGACCAACGGGATTTTCCGAGCCGCCCTTGAACGAAGAATACGGAGTAAGGTGTGGTGGAAAACGAGCCTGTCGTTTACACCCCGCGGAGCGAATAACGCCGGCACTGCAAACGTCACACGCGAGAATAAATGATATTACGTGTATAGATATTTATTTAATCGCCAACGTATCGTTCGCATTTCCATGTGGAATTCCGCGTGATAGTTTAATGATGTAAGATCGTTTGCATAATGCAAACTTCCGCGTGTTCCGATTGCATTTAAATTATCTTCTCTTCTGGTATATGTATGAGAAAGTGTATATGAGAACGTACAATTAAAATGACTCTGAAATGTGTGTCTTTTCGTTAGTGATAGTTAATTGTCGCCTTTCTAATTCTTTACGCTCTCGTAGATCTCAGAATCCAGTTATGACTTCTTAATCGCTTTCCGCGAGGTCATGCAAATGTAAGTAATGAGGATATGAAGGCTCGCTCGATGCATTTCATTCTACATAATATCTATCATATATGAGAAAAATATAATCTTTTCTAATTAAATAACTGGTTATTCAACTGATTATTCAATTTCATTTCTAATACTAATATGAAACGCGCATGTTGATAATCGCTGAGGTAATTGGTCGCAAAATGCACTATTCGACAACTTTCTTATTTCGCTGACAGCGCGACGACAAAAACGCGAACGGTGCGTATTAACGCGGTTCGCGAGCAATAAAAAATTAAGAGAAAAAGTGCAAGAGAGAGAGAGAGAAAGAAAGAAAGCTTCCTTCGCGCGGTGAATCGCACCGAACAAGGATTGCGTTATCGCCGCTTCTTCCGCCGGTGTGTTAACGAACGAGAAGTCCGCGAGCTCGCTCGCCGTCACCCCGTTTCCGCATACCTCGCGGTCTCGAGTGCCGGAAGCGTCCAGGCATGAAGAAGCAGTTCGGTTCACACCCTTGCGCACTAATATCCGGGCGGCCTTCGGTCGAGAGACCGGTACACATCAATTATATCAAGGGAATTCGATGTCGGCGACTTGGTATCAAGCGCATCGTTGAGATTCTCACCGCGCGACTCTTCGCTCAAGAATGCCATGATTCTTGTAAGTGACGTTTAATTCCGATGCATTCCAGGGGACGATCCTGAGAGCGACTCGATGAACGCCGCGCCGTTGCCGGTCGATAGGGTGCACCGGTACGCTTCGGGGCGAGCCGAAGCGTTGGTGGGAGCCTCCTCGGACGCAGGACCGAGCTTATCACGGAACGAATCGTGACAGACGCTTCTTTCCGGGTCATTGTAAGCGCCGGTCGCGGCAGCGGTGACGAAGCGATGCTCGCGATTTGGCGCGCCACGCACGACCAATAACGCCGATAGCCGATAGCTCAATCGCGAATCACGCTCGCCGGTTGTTTCCACGGACGGTGCTGTAATCACACATATACACACTCTGTGATATATACGTAATACATGCATACATATATACATATACATATATATGCTACGAGGTGCGAGAAATCGAGACTGTCCGCGATTGCGTCGCGTAAGGTCGCACGTCAAGCACGTTGAAGCAATCGAGAAACGAGATATCTCGTATGTTATCTCTTTCTCGCGTTCGGCTCGGGAACGTTTAACGAGTGAGGAAGATGTTTAACTTTATGAAGAAGGCCGCGGAGAAGGACGACAAGGAGAAGCGGAAGCGCGAGAAGAAGGAGCGGAAGGATGTCAAGAAGCGCGATCGCAGCAGCATGTCCGCGGAGGAGCTACTGCGATTGGACGAGGTGAGAACATCGTTCTTACCGAGGAATCTGGCTTCTCAATATTATTCTTTTCTTGTCGTACGTAAACATAATAAATAATCCTAATAACGATATATTTCATCGGTCAAATAAATAATGTTAATAACGATATGTCTCATTGGTCATTTGGTTTGTATATTGACGTATACTCGTTTGGTTATCGCATCCTCCATTAATAAGGTGGGTGTATACTGATATTGCATGTAGATTTACGCGAGTTGCACAAAGATATCGATTGTATCGATATCTTGTTCGAGTTTTTCGATAAACGAGTTGTCAATTCTGAAAGGTAGTAACGTATTTCGCTTTCCTGATGCAGATTGGCATTATTAATAAATTGTACATTTAGATTAACGCGATGAATATGTTATATATCGCTTTTCAAAGAAATGAATTTATTATGAAGACAATAATTATGTGCGTAAGAAGATTTTTAGATAAAAATACGCAAGATTTAATTATTATAAACGCGGAAGAGATTTTGTTTTGAAACATTTTCGTTTCTTCTGTAGACTCAGTATTGTCACCGGTTGGATGTGGTTGCACGCGATAAGAAGTATCGGTCGCGAAGTACGCATTTGTTACACGAAGTGAAAATTGCAAAATTATTCTGCGATATGGAGAACGCGTCGTCGCGATCGCATCGTTCGACAAAAAATAAGAAAGGTCTCTTGAGAAACATCGTAAGACACCATCCATGAGCTAGAGTCCAATTCTCGGAGCCGATGATTCGGAAGGCTTTCTTAAAAAATGTTTCTTATTCGCCACGAAAATTTCGTTGCAGGTCCGTAGGTCATTGAAGATTCCCGGTCGCCGGAAGGAGAAGGAAAAGCTTCCGAGCGGTATCACCGCTGATTACAGCGCGTCGTTCTTTGCGCATCTGGACCGCGATCTTCTGGACAGCTCGCAGAATGCGGACTCGGGTCCAGGCTCGGCGATCAGCGCCGGTACCAGCAGTTGGACCAGCGTCAGAACACCCGACGGATTGATGCAAAGTGACTCGTCGGAGGCGTCTCTTACCTCACTAACGACGACTACGACTACATCGTCGACGACGACGAGTCACGCGGGTGGCAAGAATCTGCCGCCATTGCCACCGAAGCCGCCCAAGCGAGGGATCCTCAAAGGGCCTCGATTGAGCGTCAACAGCGGCGTCGTGAGTGTCCTTTCGGAGGAGAACGCGTTGCCGAACGGTACCGAGACGAGTTACCAGGAAGCCAGCAATCTGTTGGTGAGGAATACTCTTCAGAACGAGGTGATAGCTTATCAGAATGTGCCGACGCATCTCAACAGCGTCCTAAACAAGGACGAGGTTTGTAGCGAGGAGGAGACAATCTGTCAAACCACGTGGCGTGTAGTCACCACGCCGCAACAGACCGTTCAGCAACACTATCAGCAACAGCAGCAACAGCAGCATCATCAAATCGACGCCAAACTGCTGCAGGTTAGATAACATTTCGCTTTCTCTTTCCGACTCGTGCATTACAGCTGCAATATGAAACTCGATTATTACAGTTATTTTCAAATAATGAGACGCTGATGATGGGTCTGTTCATAATTTGACGTAAACGGAGGATGGCAAAAAAGTTCCCTTGAAACAAAAGCGAATTATGGCTTTCATAACTTACACTTTGCGTGCAATCGTCAAAATATTTCTTTTTACGATATAACAAGATTATTCGAATTAAATATTTGCATTGTCAATTTCTGTATCATAATTCTAAACGTGGATAAAGTTTATTAATCGTTATTTTAATTTTCTCTAAATTAACTAAATTTATCATTGATATTTCATAATTAAAGCTTCGCTTTGATGTTATTTCTAGTGATTATTTAAATCAAATCAAATCTTTATCATGTAACAAATATCTTCGATATTTAGGTCGTCACTAGTGCTAGTCCATCCGCGGATTCCTTGACGGACACGACGAACTCGAGTTTCGCCACCCCGCCGTTCAGCCTGTCACCCGTTGGCGAATCCCAGGGTTTCTCCAGGTGGCGTTCGTCGGTCTCCTTCGAAGAGCAGGGGATCGAGCTGCAGCTGCCGGAGCTCGTGCCGCTCGAATTACCCGAACCTAGGGAGCTCACCATTCAGAGGCAGCCGCCACCGCGAAACGATTTCGGCTTTTCCCTTCGTCGCGCTGTCATCGTCGAACGAGCGGCAAATGGTGTCACGCAGATGAGACCGGTGATCTTCGCCGAACCCGGCGCCCTGGTTCAGCATAACAATGACACGGGTCTATTACCCGGTGACAGACTGATCGAGGTCAATGGGATCAACGTGGATGACAAATCGCGCGAAGAGATTATCGATCTCATCAAGAGCTCTGCCAGCAGCGTCACTGTAAAGGTAATTCTCATTTTAATGCAATTTAGCTTGTACAATAATTATATATTCCACCATTTTAGAATAATTTTATTCATTTAAAAATATTGTGTATGTTACCAAACATTTTTAATCGATATGTTAATATTAATAAAAAATCAATGTGATCTAATCGATATATTTTGCAGAGTAATATCTTTTTTCGTTATATAAAATTATTTGAGATATATAGATGGAGATTTCTTTTATCTATTTATTGTTGGAGGGAGACTTCTATTTGCGTTAGACTTGTTGACGAAGGCGTCAGAGTCAAACGATGGGAATGCTTGGAGCGTACTTTAGTCATTGCGCAAGCGATAGTACTCTCTATACTTTGTCCTTTTCTCTTCTATAGATCGTACCGGTCGCGTCGAATAATGTCGATTTCTCATACCCTGTAAACGAACCTTTCTCTTCCCGAGCGTGCAACAACGGAGCTTATTAGCATAAGCACGATTTGAAATTTGATATTTACCGGAAAGTAATCATTCAAACGGTCTGATATGACGACATTATGTTGCAACGAGCTTATCTTCGATTATTAGCCATTGATAATAACTATTAACTTATCGTTCGTTGTGCGGAAGCGCTTATCTTTTATTATTGTCGCAACTGGCCTTGGATTATTTTAAAGTATTGCTGGAAAAACGAATATCATTCGGTATCGTACAGAAAAATCAATATTGAAACGGTGAAAGGTCGAGGAATTCTTAGATTATAGAAAGGAATCGGTCAAATGTTGTTTCTCAGACCTTTACATTGCAGTGGAAACGCATCGCGTTAAATGACAGTAACTTTGACGTGACACTTTATTCGAATTTATAATTTCATTCTCTTTTTAACCAGAATACTTTATTTCAATTTATAATTTCACTTGATTTATCTAGAATGTGAGTCAGCTGAATACTTTTTTTATTGAATAAAATATTTTAATTTTTATCAATTTTATTATTTTAATCTGTTATTAAAAGTTTAATTAATTAATTATTATAAAGACTTATATTTTCACGAAAAATAATATTAGTACGAAACAGAGGGAAAAAAAGAGAGAGAAATCTGCATCGGTTTCATTGATGCTTGACCGCTCGGGTTGTTAAAAGTGAGTGAATGCGCAAAACGGACGAGCGTCTGGCAGGACCGGTGATTGCCGTGCGATGTCGGTTGGTTCATTGCCACTGCTGGCAACGAATATAGCGGGATAGTGAGTCACGGTCTCGCTAATAAAACTATACGTCGAGGGGGGAAGCGATACTGTCGTGTGAAAATAGCAGCCTTACCGAGAATCCAATCTTCTCTTTCGTCGTCACCATCGGACGAAAAATCGACCATCCTGAGGACGTGCGTCTCATATAGAGGAGCCAAGCGATGAGTCCGCTCGCATCTGGAGAACGAAAAAGTAAAAGGGGGCGGCTTAGTGAAGAGCGCCCAAGTGTGTATCTGACCTTGTCTCGTAGCCGCGGAATTCTAAAAATGCCGCCGCGTTCCCGCGACAGAAACGAAATGTATGCGATTCCGCCATGTGTTGTCCGTTTGCATCGTTCTCCCTTTCACTGCGCGTCACACGCGCAGAATGTAATCCCCCGGGGTGGATTGGACGGTTAATCCGAAGATTTTGTGCGTCAGCGCGCATCGGAAGACGTCGAAGAATCGATATACGTCTCTGTACTGCATCACCGTAAATGCATTCCTCGGGAAACATGTGTATAAACAGCATCCAGCAGCGAAGGAAGTAGTCCTGATGATGATGGAAAAATGGGCGATATATTCTCTAAGTATATACAACCAAGTTTATTTGTGTCTAGAACTCAAAGAACTTGGGAATCTCTCCAGTCGAACGCGTAGACACCCAAAAATGCTAGGCACGTAAGAGGATGAGTAGGAGAGAAAGGAAATAAACATTAGAGCGAGAGCGAAAGAGGCAGAGGGGGAAAAACCGGATGTAATTCGCTCGCAAGCCGAGCGTGTTATATGCTGCATATAGGGTGTGTCAGAACTTGCATACTTTTCACAGGGTTCTTCAGCAAGTTCAGAAATTTTTACAATTTTTAATTCTTATTACACACACAAAATCTTCCTCTCACAATTGTCATATTCATTGCACACTAGAATATGTGTACGTCTCTATTTCATTTCGCCATTTCCATCATCATCGCTGTAATTGAATGGCTACCAAGTGGTAAATATTGGAGAAGACTATATCTATTGTGTGTTGCAAATTTCTCAATACATGCATGTGAGAGATCCAATCTTCTATTATCTTCCTCTCTTTCCCTTTCTCTCTCTCTTTCTCTCTCTTTCCGCAGCATAACAGCATCTCGGCAGAAAAGAGAAACGTGACGTGATTTACATATTTGTGTATAGGTAACGCGTCGGCAGGCCTCTCGGTCAACATCCTGCTTCCTGTTCACGGTATGTCGCATGAGCTCGGCTTCGTGCACGCGTAAGTCATGCACGTGCCCCGTTATACCCGCCCGATGGACGAAGTGTGCGTATCGCGCACGCAGACATCGATATCAGGCGGAGCCGTAACGGTGATTAATTGGAATTAGGGGCGATCAGGGAGAAGGAGGACGTAGTATGTGTGCTTCATATGACTTCTGCAAGAAGCTAATACTCTCACAATATTTTCGACACACTCGATAAAGCTTCAAGCTTTTTTTCTTGTCGGGAATTTTAAAGAGTTCCCACGATATACTCAATTACAGGAAGGCCGTATTCCGACACGTGCGATTTTAAATATTAAAAAAATCATAATCATTGTTATTTCTCTGAGGGCAGCTATGCGTGTCTGTCGTTTTGCATTTATATTACGCGTGGATATTCGTGCGATGCGACTATTCATAAGCGAAAATGAATTGCCATCGCAATCGTCGGCACGCTCAAGGGCGTGCTTGCGTGATGCATGCGTATTATAGATATTAACGCGTCGATCTCGTTGCAGGTGCAGCCGGTCGGGGAGCTGTCAGAGTTATCGAGACGCGGCGGCTGTGACGGACGTCAAGTCGAATTGGCACCTGCGAATATTCGTGGCGGCACGCTTCGACGATCTGGCAGTTTGCGGTTTCATCAGAATACAGTAAGCCTATCGTCACAGTTGGCATCGACTTAACACTTAAATACGAGTCAAGTTCGTCGAGATTCTCCTTTCGAAAGAAAAGAGAAATTAATAAGGAAGTGTCTAAAAACTATCCTTTCTCGACTTCAAACAGTAGCATAAGAATTCGTTGAAAGATAAAATTAAGAAATCACGTTCATTGACTTGTGTCATTCAGGTTTTCATACTTAAGTCGTCACGCATGAATTATTTCACGTGTCAGGCTGTTCTGGTTTCTCTGCTCAATCATTCAATTTCTTATATGTGCTTCAATATATCACGTAGTTTCATAGCTTATATATAGGCTACAACAAAACGTCACGTATATAAAAAGAAGGCTGATGAATAAAAAAAGGGGGTATGAAAATTGAATATAAAAGGCAATCGATTTAGCGAAGGATGCGCAGAGAAATAGGAGGATGACACAAAGGGTACAAAAAAATGCATCGGAATTCGATAGGACTGCAGCGTGATGTAGCAGCGAGGGAAGAGGAAGACAATAGTAGAGACGCTTCACTTTCCACCCACATTCCCTAGAGCAACGCAGTGGCATAGCAATCGCGTAACGGTACATCTACTGCTTCGTACCGTAATATCTCGTTTCCGCCGAGCTTCGAACTGCTATTTAGCTATAGGCGTAACTCGTTTCTAGAAAAAGCAATTATTTCCTCGGATTTGTACAATTGGAATGTCATCCAGCAATTAATTATTTTAGAAATGTAAAGGGAAAGAAATATAAATGTTACCTAAATTTTTTTACTTGCGTGAGAGAGAATTATCTTAACAGATTTTTTAAGATAGGACATTTTTAATACTTCAAATGATCCCTCGAAATTTGATGTCTCGTCTTTATCTTTATTCATTCTTTCGAATTAAGATCTTACAACAGATATCTGTCACGAAACGTTAACAGCAGAGTATTAAATTAATTAATCAGAATTGAATAAAATGTAGCGATTGAATAATTTTCTTTTCTGTATCGTCAACCATAGTTGACGCTCGGCCATAGATACGCAAACCGTTCACGGTCGTCGACTACAGTCGGCGATCGTACCGAGAGAGTTAAAAGTCGCAACCGCAACTATCGCAAATAAAATAATGATAGTAAAGTGCAGGAAGAAGAATATAATCTATAAAAAATTTTCCGAGTTAACGTTCGATATGAGCAAAAATGGACATGCATATCTCGTTATTTTCCCACAATATTTCATATATAGTCCTCCTTTATGTCGCGGCTTCGTTGGTAGTCGAGAGCTTGCGGGCTTTCAAGCTGCCTTCATTAAATTAAACCGTCATGCGATATACATAATACGCATTCCTACACATCATCGTGGATGAGATCGTAACGCGTTTACAAACACGTCGAAAATGAGCATCGTACTACTTGAATTCATTAATGAAAGGGAAACACATTACGTGAAATATTCAATATTGAAATGTATTTTTTTAATAATAATTAATCGAATCGTATTCGAAAATGATTAGCGATAATATTTTGATCATATTTTTATAATAATCAAAATAGATTATGAGGAAATGAATTAATACGTTTGTTACGTATGTAAATACGTGAAGCCTAAGGTAAACATGAAACAGTTTACTTTTGTAGGGAAGACAGGTAATTCAATTATCATTTCAATTGAATCAGCTGTGTAAACTTTCCTAACAAGTGTAGATCTGACAGTTTAAAATCAAATTGCCAATGTCGATTAAACGACACAGATATATGAGAAATAGCGCAATTGTTTTATAAATGAAACATTGTATGAACATCGAATCGTAGAAACGAACGTCATTGCTCGCTGCGCAATTTGACGCGAGCAGCGACGTGTAATAATTGGCAATTAGCTCTAACAAAGTGCGACTTGTGTCAGTGCTAAAATACATGGTAGAATCGCATGATGATATTTACTGACTGCCGGTAAAGCCCACGATATGGTGGCATAGTAAAGAACGTGCTGCCGACCTGTCGTTGTAAAGAACATCGAGTAGTACGAGCAGCATTCTTCCTATATCGCTAAAACTTTTATCAAAATTTTATTATATATATATTAAATTAATATTTTATTTTTAAAAATTTATACAAATATAAATTTAATATTTATATTTTAAAAAGAAAGATTGAAATCCATATATTATAAAGGATAATAATTTAAAAAATGTTGGCAAAATTTCTACGGAATTTGGTTCTCTCTAAAAATTAAATCTAAATATTGGGAGTAAAATTTTCTAAATATTTTTGCAATTTCAGCTTCGGTATCCTACATATTATTTCTGAAATGAACGATGAGAGAGTCGCGTTTCAGGATACCAAGTTCTTGCCAAGTATTGATGTATGCGGAGAGCAACGGCCGCGATTGGCGTGGCTATTAATCAAAGACCTGGCAAATTTGCAAAATATGAACTTGGAATTACGACATACGAATCGCAGCGTCCGCGTAGCTTCGCTCTCTCTCTCTCTCCTCTCTTTCTCTATCTCCTTCTCTCCGTATAAGTACTACATAAATGTCAAATTACGTAATTAGAATTGCACGTTACGCGCCACGCTAAATAATTACGCCGTTACCGCCGTAACACTATTATTATGCCCGCGAGGAAGGCACTGGATATGCGCGCGCGATAATATCTCCGGCGGATCCTGCCAAGCTGGTTGCTTGTCGCAATATGTAGGCCAATAATGCATATTTTCGATCGCGCATATGCATTCGCGCAAGGTAAGAACGTGAGCAAACTTCGTGATTTTTCTTTTCCATCTGGAAAATCGCGCGCCATTAAATCCGTATCAATTTTTAAAATCGTTTACCGTAAACTCTTGTCAATTTTTTTTGATCGATACATGATAAATGTTGTTGTTCATAAGCAAAAGGAATTCGTGGAGCAACAAACGTGCGATAATACATTTGATGCCGAAAGCACACACGAGTGCAGTTTTGGCATATGACGTCAGCTTATCATCTATAAATATCGGGTATTCGGAAAAAGTGGGTTGCCCACGCAAGAAATTGCGAGAGTTTAATGGCCTCTTGTTATGCGCGTCTACGACTTTATAAAACTGTTGTTGGTATATCGCAATGATGAAGCACGCAAGAAAGGATTGTGCTTCAAATTTGAATATTTCAGTAGCAGAAATATAAACAATAAGAGAGAGAGAGAGAGATCGAACATTATATTCTCCTTATTTAACTTTAAGTGAACGTTAATTCAGCAAAGTGTCAATCGGAGGAAAATAATTACGCAATAAATATTTCCAAATTGAAGTGTTCGAGACGCATCATTAATATCGGCTTAAGTCTTAAAATCCCGGCAAAAATGGTGATTCGTTTAACTTTCCATTAGCGTTGCGCTATTTCGCAAAAATGAATAGGCTATTCGAGCGGCTTTGCCGCGCGTGAATAAATTTGCATGCAGTTGCGATCGGTGGGCAAAAGGCGAAGTCGGCATTCACGAGAATGCGACGTCGGGGCGTAATTTGAATTTTATGCACGTAATCGCGGTGGCTCCACACGTACGCATACGTATACTCGTACGTGCGTATGTACGTGCGTGCTCCCGCTCTCTTATCTGCCCACGTCGATGCGTGACGGCGTTAACGCGCTGCGCCGTCAACGCCTGGTAGCGAGAGGCATCTTGATTGCGACAGAAGAGAGATGCCGCGTGCATTACAGCTGATCCTTGGCGCCTCTCTAACACTGTCCCTCTCTGTCCTCTCTCTTCCCCCCATGCGAATGGACTCCCCCAATGTACGCTCTCTTACTCCGCGAAATAATTAATCGAATGTATTCCATAATGTTAGCATACATTTTTTTCTTTCCTCGATGAAACCCGATGCTCTTTAGGGATTAGGAATAATTAAATCTGACATGTATAATGTTTCTCATACGGTATTAAAAAATAATATTTCCTGTCTTTTATTATAGATTGCGTTTATATTAAAATATAATTATCTAGAAGAAAATAAAAAAGAGATCATGTGTAATATATATAGCGTCAAGTTCTATATTTGTTGGGTAACTAGAGCTTCATCAAGGATTTATTAAAAATCAATAAAAAAAGCGATGCTTGCAATTGGAGCAGTCATATCGCGAATGGATGTTTAGATGCAGCGGACGTGTAAGGGTTTCTGTACAGGCCATGGCAGCGAACTTGTTTCAAATCGTATTAAGAACCGAGGCTTAGACGCGAGCCTTTAAGCATGTTATTCGCACTCGATGCGACTACGAATACGCTGTTACTGATTTATGACTCGCGTCTGCTGCAATCGTACCAGTCAATCCAGTCTCTATCAATGTGAGTCATCGAAACATCATTCTTTTTTCCCCGCGAATCAACAACATTCAGTTTTCATTCAAAAGCCAAAAATTTCGAATCGTCGTCGCCGCATCTTCTCGAATCTAGACAGATCGTCTATGATAGCGACTATCATGATTTTGTCTCGCAAAATACTTTCATATGATCTACTGATCTGTTGAATTGCTCTTTTTCTTCCGGGCTTTTAATGGATATTTAACTTTTAATGACGTTTAGCTCAATTAAATCCACCTACAACTCTGCTGGTTGCAATCGCGCCTACACGTCGATCACGAGCAAGGTCGATTTAGCAATTCGCGCAGCATGAACGACCAAAGGACTCGTTTTCCACTTTCTTTTTTTCCCTTCTTCTCTCAAGAACTCGGAGCGGCCTCGAGTGACCTTCCAATATGGGTTCTATCGACATTTTCGATGCTTATAAGTGCATGAAATTCATCAATCTACCTGTAATTTTTCCATAAAATCATTTCCTAAATTTTAAATCGACTTTATTATCCTTACTCCTTCGGGATGTGAAATTTTCGGAAATACGACGAGAAAAAATCGCGTTACATCAGGAGGTAATCATTATTGAAATCCGTTTGTCCGTTGAACGCGTCCAGTCATTTACTTCATCTTATTTGTCGCATATTTTTTGCCCTCGCACGACCCGCATCGAGAGGGATCCAGTCGTT